ACACATTGCGGTGTTCTGCACCGTAAGCAGCAAGTGAACACGGATTCGCGAGGAAATACGGTATATTCGAGCTTCACGATCTTTCTCTTTTTTTTTTTTCATTACTTGGTGTACATGCAGCTTTTGACGGTAAAAATCGCCGCTTTTCAAAAACCCTTCAAGCAACATGGCGTCGCCAATTCTTTGCACGAAGCGTTTAATTGTACCCGAATGCAGACCGAACGCGGACTCAGTCCTCGCGTCCAATGCATGCTCGAAGAACGTGCCCGAGCAATGATGAACTCGGACATTTAGCACAAACAGATACTATAATGAGCGCAGTTTTGAAAATGCTCTATTACACAGGTCTGATTGTCTCGACAAAGACCGGAGAGCGCAGGATGTGCTGAACGCAGCCCATCACACCGCAGAAACGGAGGTCGCGTGATTTGGGGTAACATGACGTGGTCACGTCAGACTGATTTCACCGTTAAATGTACCAGAGAAACTGCCGCGACTGTTGTCCGTGATGGCCCTTTTGTGACGGTTTTTTAAGCGATGGTAATCTCGTTGAATTCGGCTCATAAAACTCCATACCGAGTTAAAAATAGGCAAAACGGTGAAAAACAAATGTCGACATCTGCACAAGGTGCGATCAAATTTCGCGATCTTTTGTTGATTTCAGATGTTTTCACGAAACTCAGGTGTGCTTGTTTAACGTGATGTCACATTCGAGGGTAGATTTATTCACTTGCTTTGGGCACAAATCCTTATACGAGTTTTTTCGAGTTCATCCCGCGTGCTCGTGTCCACTGCCGTTCACAGGGAAGTTTGTTTTGAATTGATAAATAGGTAGCAGGAATTTAACTCAAGGCATAATCTAAACAAAGGCTGGCCCTGCGGTGCGTTAATCAGCGTCGCTAATACAATGATGTTAGGCCGGATGTAAACAAATGCGTACACGTGAACAAAGGAATGAAGTCCATCCTAAATGGACAATAGATCTGTGGGGAGAATTTTCGAGCCAGGTGGACAACGTCACGCTCGTAGGTGCGAAGCAAACATATTGCTTTAGGCGCACTTTCATATTCGTATACCACCAACCAGATTTCACGATATGTGAATAACAGAACTACAAGACAGGACGGATATAAAACATTTTTCTCTCATTGCTTAACACTGACACAACGAGACAACGAGGCACAACACCTTCCGAACTCTTAGACTAAGAGTTCGCTATTTTCTTAAACGCAACCTTCCGTTACGTTACGGTACCTGGAACGCGTTTTCGAATGGTGCCTTTAGCGTCCTGTTCCGACCATGCAACAAAAAAAGGTCCCGATGTGGCGATAAATTGAAGCCACAGTAGTTGGTGCATCACGCTGTAGGAGGTCGCTATACTGGCGGTTGGCGCTGAAGTCCTGACAAAAAGTACGAGCGACCGCAGGTGTGGCTGTCATCGCGGAATCCCAACTCCTGGCGGCTGTAGTTTCCGTGGACTGTGAAGTCGGAGAGTGACAGGCGACTGCCACATCCACCACTGCTGCTGTTACGAAACCGCCATGATGGAGGCCGACGACAACATGACACTTCTTTGGCGTCATTAGAAAACAATCGAGGGAAAACTATTTAGGACGTGGTAAACGCACCAGTCGGAGACACGTTTTAGAAAGCATAGTTAGATCTCTTGCCAAGACAAACCGTTGAAACTAAATATTTTATTGCGGCTACCGCTATAAAGCAACGGTAGGCACCGGTCGCCGAGTGGATCAACACCGGGGACGTCAACATTGTTTCGCGACCTCTCAGTCCCTTTGCCTTAGTGGAGAACAAAAATATTTTTTATCACAAAAGCAATACCAAGTAGTGTCAGGAACGTCCTGTTTTACCAGACCGCCAGAAAGATGGCGTCTGTGCCAGGACTGGATAAAGCTATTACTTACCATTGCAACGCGCCGGCATCTACTCCAACCAATCTGCGCACTTTGCAACATCAGCAAGAAAATACTGAGGCACAGTCTGGAACACACGACCTCGGAAAATTTCAAAATTTATAGCCGTCACAAATAAAAGCCCTGAAACATTCTAATTTTGAGGTACGCGTGCTAAAATGCAAGATTTCTTTGACGCGCCTATGGCGCCTTCGTTCACGGAAGCAATTCAGTGTCGTCAGAAAGTCTTTCTTTCTCGTTGAGCAACCGAAACTTGATAAGCAACGCCGCTTAAGCGTCATATACACCAACTCATGTTTAAAACAAACCGGAGCGCCTTTAGCAGACGCCACCGGCGCCGCACATGCACAATGGGGGTGTGGGCAAGAAGCTCGCCGTCGCCCATAAACAAACCATTGGAATGGGACGTTGTCGACGTCGGTGTGGGTCCCCGTGCTCTTTTTCGCGTTGTAATTGTTGATTCTACGCAGGGTGTTGGAACGAAATGTTTTTCGTTCCGTTTTCATTTTCGTTCCATACAAAAAAGTTCCGTTCCGTTTCCGCTCCGGAACAAAAAAATAATGCTCCGTAACGGTTCGTAACGGTTCCTTTCTATTAAAAAAAAAAATCGCAACAAAACTTAAAAGGAACGTAACGTTTATTTTTACACAAAAATAGATAATTCAGGCGCTCTAGAGGAATCCGCGGAAACGACATTGCTTCTGAGATCATGTTCATTGCCTTGAGAATGAGATCATGATCAAGGCACAGAGCATGATCTCAGAAGCAGCACGTCATCAAATGTGCTCGGTGAAAGGCAAGACCTCTGGTCCGATAAAATAAATTTCAGCACCGAGAAGGCCCTGAAGGCCCATAGGGATGAAGAAGTACACTTTTGCAACAGAGTCTCAGACTGCCATATCCGTAGAAAAACAAAAGATGGACTTCTACAACGCCGGGTCACAAACTTCCCTCGCTTGCCGTGATCTGTTGTCTGTCTGTGTCGTCCGAAGAAAGCATGGAGGGAGAGGGCGCAAGCAGAGCTGTATATGTAGAGAGTTTGGCCATTCGTTGGGAAGTATAGGAGACAAATGAGGAGGCGCCATTGGCTGAAAGCTGGCTGGGCGTGTTCCAGGGCGTGTTCCAGGGAGTCTTCAGAAATTCGAATGTGACCAACCAGAAGCCGGAAATAATACCCTGGCGGTGGTCGCGAGAAACAAAGCTGATAACTGCATTGGAGTAACTCTCGATGACTGAAAATATGGTACACGTGATGTTTCAATCACGCTCATCCAAAATGATATGGAGGAGTGCGACTAGCGGAACGATCGACATAATCCGTACACCAGGCGCCGAGGGCCGGGAATCCGCCGTCCGAGCAAACCAGAGTTGAGCGGCGCATTCGTTTCTTACATCTTTCTGCATGATCATGATCAAAACAACACGTGCACCCTATTTTCAAGCATAAAGAGTTACTACACTTCACTCTGACGCGCTTATTAAAACCATATACGAACATAGACCTTTGATCAGAACTGTTTCTCGCTACCACCGCTAGGGGATTCTTTTCGGCTTCTGGTTGGTCAAGAGAGCGTGCCAAGCCCTCTTTCCGAGTCCGGTGCACGCCCTGGCTCTGCCCGCGCCTCCCATTGACCAAACTCTCTACATATACGGCTCTGGGCGCAAGAGCCAAGGAGAGCATTGCGAGCGTGTGGAGGCGTCGCGCCACCGCGCTCTCATTGGTGGGAAGCAATGGCGCCTTGCGTCATGTTTTTTGTTTCTCGTTGTATTTTTGTCTTTGTTTTTGCTATGCTTGTTCGCCCGGAGTTAAGACGTGGGGGCGATGGCTTGCTTGTCTTCTCTTTAATTATGGTACAAACCAACGGCTGTCTCTTCGCTGCGCGAAACGAATTACTGAAATACCTGATATTTTCCCTTGAACCGAAAACCGATAAGAAAATTTTTCGGTTTCACTCCGGAACAAAATAATAAATAACGTTTCGATTACGTTTCCGTTCCGCCCAAAAATATCGTTTTTTTCGTTTTTCGTTTTTGGTTTTCGTTTTGTTCCGATACCCTGATTCTACGTCTTCCTGGCAATGCCTGATTACTTGAGCGGCCTGAGCGAAAATAACGAGGCTCGTTACACTGCAAAACTTGGCGTGAATAATGCAGCATGCGGCGATTTATTCCGCGTGGACGCCGCAGAATGGACGAAAAAGCCCGATTCACATGGTGAGGTTCTGCTCGCTATTTTCAGTCATGATGTCGCTCGGGCTGCAAGAGCCCGAACCGTAACTGATATGTCGACGTCGATACTGAAAATGGCAGCAGAATCAAACCGAGTGAATCAGGCATAGCAAGTCGGTGATGGCCACTGGTAACAATTATCAACATCTCCTTTTATCTTCTGCTTGCACCGAGCCTACTTACCCGAAGCCACCTTCAAACTTAAATGTCTTTTGAGGTCTGCACTTCTTATTGCAATTACCGGGTCAACGTTTGGTCTACTGTTGAAACTAAATATCGTTTGAACTAGCAGACGACAAGCAGGAACGTTTGAGAGAGCAGACAACAGCTCGAACGATGAGGCGTCCGTTTGAACGTGATGAAGCATTGAACGTAATCCGCAGGTGGTCCGTGCAACTTGACGGTTTTCCCGCGTTCATGTTGGAACAAAACAAATAAATCTGACGATCACAAGCATCCATGAATTCAATCCAAAGTGCTTTCCGCCCAAGCAATCGCGGTCCGACGGCGTCTGTTTTTACTTTTGAATGGCCCCTGTTCACGGCGAGCGCCTATCCAGAGAGCTTGCCCGTGCCTAGATCTGGGGACAAGGCCAGCGTAGGGAAAAAAAGCTCGTAGGGAGTCCGTTCGCGTGGTCGTGATGATGATGATAACCATGTCATATAACACCTGAGACTGTGGTGAAAAAAATTGGAAACGTTTTGGTAGAAGGAACAGACACAGAAAGGGACGTCTCAAACTCAGTTAACTGGTTTATTTCTCGACCATCGTATGACTCGCCCACTAGCGCCACCCCGGCCTCGCCGCCTCGGCCTCGCTGTGTTCAACGGTTCTCAGTTTGAAATTTGGATTGTTAGTGGTTGCCCCGTAGCTTTTGTGTATGCTAGCTGTACGCCTTATAATTTCGTACAACCGCCGTCCTTATTTTTCTTGTGCTCGCATAACCGCGTCGCGTGGCTTAATTCAGGTGCAGTGCGCTGCCGTGAACGCGATAACCTAAATTTTAAGAAGTTAGGTCTGTTCGTATTCGTCTTTCCTCGCTATGTCCGAACCCGCGGAACCCGCGGAACCTGGAGGAAGCGGTGGTGTTTCTTCCAAGACCGACCCAGATAAGTACAAGTGCAGGATTTGTGACAAGTGTTTCAAGAAAATCTACAACTTAAAGAGGCACTTAAAGGAGGTCCACGGGGAATCTGACGCGAGCTGGGTCACACTTCCCTTTGACAGTTACAGCTTTGCATGTGATCTGTGTCCAACAGCTTCTTTTGCGTTCCATGGGGGCTTGCTGCACCACTTTGAAGCGAAACACGGGTTCGACGCGAGGCATGAGAAGTTAGAGTTCAATTCGTTAAAAGGTAAGTGGCGCTCGCTTTTCTGGATATGTTGTCGTATTGGAAATTAATCAAAAGTGTATTGGTGGGCCAGTGTGATCATATCGAAAACATTTCGAAAAAAGGATAAGAACAGAGACGTAACAAGCGTTACTATCGAGTATCGACTGACTCTTTAATGCGTTCTTAGAGATGTACGACAAGAAAGTCGCTTTGTTAAATTTTTATATTTCCTTTTTTCGTCTAGGAGGTTTGTTACTCTTTCTAGAATCTAGAGCATAAAAATGCAACATTGCCTTTCGTTGAATCTCAAAATGCCCCACTCTTGTCGATAGTAACGCTTGTCCTGTCCCTTTCTCGTCTTTTTTGCGAATTGTTTACGAGATCCTTAAGAGTTGCCGCGCAGTGCGAGTTTATTCTTTAGTTCCCCTTTGAAAAGTGGTTTCAAAATTGAAGCTTGTGACGTCGTATACAGAGCTCTTTCGTTGTGCGGGTGCATGGTCCTCAAAATGCTCGCACACCGAATGCACTGATCAAATCTATGCGTGCTCAGCATGCTCCTGGAAAGGTGGCAATGAGTTCATTGCACGACGTTTCATCGACAGCTCAGAGTAACCTTTAGCCTTTCTTTACTCTTTATTTATTTTGCTCTGGAGAGCTGCGGAAAGGCCGCAGCCCGTACCATGGAGGCCTGCGGTGCCGCGTCTAGTGAACAGGAAAATGTGATGAGTATATACATGCATGATGTTGACGACATGGAATGTTGGCATTGGGGAGAATGGCAGTCCGATTCGCAGAAGTCCAGATTTCGTCGAGGTGGGTTGGGCGGGTCAGCAGCGTGCTATGGGGATCTGGCAGTCGTTCCATCGGTGCATAAAGGAGCCCCAGGTACATGATGGCGCTGTTACTCACTGGGCTCCACTGGAGTCGAAGCATCGGGTTCGAAGGAGGTAGCCCAGTCAAAATAGAAGCTGTCGCCTCTGAGGAATCGAGGCCCAGGGCTCAGATTGAGGCACCGCCGTTGCCCGGTGTGTCATCCCCTCAATGTCGTCGAGAGGATGACATACCTTCTATTTGTAATAAGCTGCATGAGAATGTCGCCGTGACAGTCTCGTGCAGCGTCTGTCAGGTGGGTTAACATTTTTTGTAATAAGCCGCCGCAGACTGTCGCTGCGAAGCGGCGTAAACACAAACAGGTGGGTGGGTTAATGCGCACCCTAGTGATGCACCCTAGACGAAATGTCCATAAAGCGTGCAATTCGCATAACGAGCATCTATGAAACGATCGTATCGACGAAACGTGTATCCCTGAAAAGTTGTCCACGAAACATAATTCCACGAAGCGAGTTTCGACAAAATTATAAAAAAAAACTCTCGCGGAGTGGCATGCGCTGCGTAGCCGAAAGCCTATATTTGACGTCATAAATGGTGAATGGGAAACATGGATTTCTTATGTTTGCCAATATTTTTGCACCAAATAATTGTCATATTTGGATTCACGTAAGAATTCACCTCCCACTATATTTTTAAGAACCACTTCAGCTTTCTTTAAGGCATGTTACTTTACTAACATGACTTTCAGATCAGGACATCAACAGGATCGCCTCCTAAAGTACAGCTGTGCTTGGGAATAGCCATGCTTCCACCATACATACCTTATAACGTCCTGGAGAAGGATGTTACCACATGCAAATGATTTAGCACTAAGTCATTTGTGTGGTAACATACTTCCTCGTTACATTACAATATGGTAGGTCGAGAAAGAGTTGAATCAACGTCTGAGCCCTTTCTAAGACAAAATCAAATGTAAATTTTTATTCCTTAAGGTAGCGCTTGTTCTCGTGCACTTGCGCTAAAGCTTGCGGTTAGTACAAAAGCTTAAGCACAAACCTGGCACACCTAATTGTAGCGGCTTTCGCCGTTGCCGCAGGTATGTATGATGGAAGGACGGCTATCTGAGGCGTGGACCAGAGGAATCATAGCGTTACCCTTATACTCGAAAGATAGCCCATCTAAAATCAATAACAAATGGGTGAAAATAAGGAGTGGGCCGACTTTCAGTGTGAAGCAATGATGGCTTTACTCGCCAGTCGGTAATGGTTCATTATATCCCCATAGCTAACTAAAAGAAAACAGCAAATAGAGCCAAAAACAGGGGTGGGTTACCTTTCAGGGCTGGGGCATCTCTTGGAATTTTATGGTAAGCATATATCTCATGCCTACAGGGTATGTGGTACCAACACACTAGGGCAGTGGTTCTCAACCATCGATGTTGCGCGGACCCCTTGTGGATCAGCTGAGATAATGGAGGACCCCTTTTGCGTGGTGAGGGGGTGGGGAATGTATAGCTTAAATATAATGGCATAATAAATGGATTTGACTAAGGGCTAGTGTGAAGTAGACTCCTCTTATTGACATACACACAAGAAAACCAGCCCGAAAATGGAAAAATTACTTCTCGATCTGAAAAAAGACAACTTTTATTGCCGGGCTTGACTGATGAGGCAGGGCTTCGCGGACCCCTACAATGTCTTCCCGGACCCCTAAGGGTCCGCGGACCCCCATTTGAGAACCACTGCACTAGGGTTTCTCAGCTGCTCTTGTGACTGCCACTATAATGAGACTTGACTCTTTTCTAGGGGTATATGAATACTTTAATATCTGAATAGAAATCAAAAAGTAATCTCTCGGTTAATTCGATTCGTGAATAAAATTCTTAGTGTTTTGTGAACCGAAGATTCATTATGTTTTGTGAAAGATGCGCAGTCGACACAGAGCCATAGAAACTTGCGCTCTGTCCGATGCTGTGTGCACTTGCATTGAACTTATGACTATACAAAACACATTTCGGTTTCTGGTTTTTCTGCCCTCCCGTCACTCACATGGCAGTTGCACTTGCAGACAGACCTGTCTTTGCAGACTGTGCAGTGTTTTGGAGTGCGCCTACTATGTGGGCATTGGGAGCAGGAAGAAAACCATGGACCGCATGCTACAGCTAAGTCTGATTAGGGTGTATATTTAGTGAAATAGGAAGCATGTTTTGAAGCAGGGAAGTATGTGATGTAACTGATGTACTACTCTTCATTCAGGCCATTTCCTATTAAGCTTTCTTTCTTCTCTGCCTGCCAGAATTCAGTGACTGGAGGGAGGCTGAAGAAGGCAGAGAGCATGCTCACTTCGTTCTCCGCAACGGACCCAAAAAACGACCAGGTAATGTCCTGAAGAGGTATTACTACTGCCACCGCTCTGGATCGTTTCAGAGCACGAGCCGAGGTAAAAGACAACTGAAAACCCAGGGCAGTTGTAAGACTAATGTGGAATGCTTGGCCACTATTCGAGTAACAGGGAAAGATGGCAAGGTGACAGTAGAGTACCAGGCAGAACATTACGGCCACCCGAAGGAACTGAAGCACCAGCGCCTCTCCATGACTGAGAAGGAGGCTTTAGCTGATAAACTAAAGCAAGGCATTCCCGCCCGTAAAGTTCTGGTAGATGCACGTTCTTTCGCTGGCAGTGAGATGGGCATGCTTCATTTGCTCTCAATGAAAGACATTGGCAACATCTCCGTCAAGCATGAAATTCTGACGAAAGAGCGACGGCACAAGAATCAGTTTAAAAGTGTCTCAATGTGGGTGGAGGAACCGAACAAACAGTCATATTCCCTAGTGCTGTACTTTGATATGGAGGAAGGAAATGAAAAAGAGACCTTTGAGCTTGCCCTGATGACTGTCCCTCAGAAAGAACTCCTCACAAAGCTGGGCCCCAAGTTCTTGTGCATTGACTCCACTCATAATACAAATGGCCACAATCTGCAACTGACGACTCTCATGACAGTCGCAGAAGATCAATCAGGCATGCCATGTGCATATTTGATCTCAAAAAAACTAGACACCGAGACTATGAAACGCTTCTTTAAAGCCATAAAGGAAAAAATTGGCAACCTCGAATGCGAAGCATTCATGTCTGATGATGCTGCCGCTTATGGTAATGCATGGGAGGAAGTGATGGGCCCTGCCCAACACCGGATGCTTTGCTCCTGGCACGTAAACCGCAACTGGACTCAGAAGTTGCAGTTAGTCCAAGATAAGCAAACCCGTGACCGTCTTCGCGACGAGTTGTGGGCGCTGAGAAATTGCAAAGATGAGGCTAAATTCTAAGAAGGTCTGACAGGCTTTCTCTGTCAGAAACTAAGTGAAGAGGCTGATCCGAAACTAATTCAACAAGTACATGAGTTTCTTCAGTACTTTGAGCGCTACTATGGTGGCAGAGCACAACAGTGGGCACTCTGCTTCAGAAAGGGCATTCCTTTTAATACTAACAACCACTTGGAGGCAATGCACAAGGACCTGAAGTCACACTACATGCATGGAACCCACAACCAGAGGCTCGACAAGCTGTTGATGATCCTCTTCGAACTGACCCGTGACCGCCTCTACAAGCGTCTCAAGTCGCTCGTAAAAGGAAAAACAAATCGGCATGATGCAGCCCTTTTTCGGAGGCACCAGGAGGGGATCAAAATTCCTGCATCAGATGTAGAACAGCTGCAAAATGGCAATGGCTGGCTTGTAAAGTCCCAGTCCCAGGCAGAGAGAAGCTACCATGTTGAGAAGGGCGATCCCTGCCAGAGTTGCGTGCTTCGCTGCAAGGACTGTGACATCTGTATCGACAGTTACAAGTGCACTTGCAATGACAGCCTGATTTCAGCGTCAATGTGCAAGCACATTCACGCAGTAGCTTACCTGGGGCTTCATAAGACGACCGTGGAGGAGGTTGACACCGAGCCAGATGTAGAAATGCCATCAACTACACGTGAAGCAACAGGCTTTACGTTGGATGATGAGCCACAGACTCTCTTGGATGATATTCGGCAGAGTATTGAGGTAGGGATGCAGAAGACTCAACCAAATTCAGTAGACGAGATACGTTTAGCACTGAGTGGACTGAATGAGTCCTTCTCCGGAAAGGAATTGCCAAGCTCTTCAAGCTCCTTGGTGTTGAAATACTTTACCAAGGCCCAAAAATTACTTGACTCTGCTCCAGATAAGACTTCTCCTCCAGATGAGACTTCTTTAAAACCTAGGGTAATCCCGCACAACAAAAAGATGGAGAAACAAGCACGGTACTTTCCCACCAAAAAGAAACGCCCTGGTTCTGGTCCCATGCACGGCAAACCTCCCACCAGATTGGAGCAGCAGCACATCATGGAGGGCCTTGTAGCCAGACAAGTTCCTACAGGGAGAGCAGCATCCGCTCAGCTCCCTGTGGATGTTCCGAGCATGTCTGTGCTGGCCCTCGAAGACCATGACTACTTTGCTTATCAGTAGTCGAGACAATTGGACTACAAAAAAGGGGCAGTGTTCCTCTTGCTAAAAGGGATGGTGTGTTTGACAGCTTGGATTTCTTTCCACCTTGGAAAATGTCAAGAGATGCTCGAGCTAAAGGCAAGAGGGGCATCTCTTACCATCTTCCAACAGGTTAGGTTCGGTGAGGTATTATACGCTGACCTTAATTGTAACACTCTTTTAACAACCAGGGATTGGCAATTTTATTTCGGTTTATGCGGAACGGTTGTCTTTAAATTAAGGGGTAATCATAGCGCCTCGAAATGTTCGTTCGTAAGCGTCCCCCTCGCTGAAACCAGCACTTTTCTTAATTTTAAATATTGCTGCACAAGAACTTGCAGCTTTTTCTGCTTTGGAGAATGTCAAGAGGTGCTCGAGCTAAAGGCAAGAGGGGCATCCCTTGCCATTCTCCAACAGTCGGCTTCTGTCATAGGCTGACGTTAATCGTAACAGTGTTTTATTTTCAAATTCTGGAAAGGTTTTCTATTTAATTTAACCTGCTATCATAGTGCCTCGACACACCCATTAATTCAGTGTCCCCCTTGCTGCAACCGGTGATCTTTTATTTTAAATATTGCTGCACAAGAATGTGCAGCTCTTTCCGCCTTGGAAAATGTCAAGAGGTGCTCGAGCTAAAGGCAAGAGGGGCATCCCTTGCCATTCTCCAACAGGTGGCTTATGCTATCAGCTGACCTTAATTGGAAAAGTGTTTTAACAGCAAGAGCTTGCAATTTAATTTCACATTTATGTTCACAACCATAATACCTTGAATTGCCTGTTACCAGTGGCGTACCAACTTGTTTTTGAGTGGGGGGGCAAACCCGACCGTCTTCCCCCCCCCCCCTTAATCGAAAATTCGGCGCAACTTTTGTCGAAGTTTTCTAAAGATGTGGCAATGTTTCGGCAAAATTACAACGTTACCAGACTTAACATTGATATTTTGTTTTTTCTCACGAAAAAAACTTTGCTTCTTCTTATTAAAATAAATACAACTTGTAGTGCCTATTGAAACAGTTATGATTAAATAAGGTGATATACTACAAGATAATTGTATCGATGTCGCTTTTGTGTGTTTACTGGCAATTTTAGTGTTTGCTTGCAGAAAGTGGCGTGACAACGAGGTTGGGTAGTAGCCGGAGCAGTCACGAATCACACTACGAGAGTTTTGATTTTGAGGCTTCATCAGCGCACGCCTGCAAGTGTGTTTACATTGCTAAAATAAAGACAATCACTGCGTTCTTATTTTCTCTGGGAGTCACCGTTTCGTGTGCGAAAACGGATGCAACGGTTGTTTAGCCTTCACCAGAAGAGATAACAATACTGTAAATATGCATGTTTTTCGATTTGAGTCACTTGACGTCAGCTTTGCATGAAAGTGCGCGTTCTATATTCGCAACGTGCCGTTTTTAACCTTTAAAATTCCGGTTTCTGGTGTTAGGACACACACGGATGTTTAGGTAGATAGGGAGAGTTAGGAATGTCGGATGTGCAACGTCGAGCATGATAGTTCTGTGTTTAACGAATACTTTTCATCAGTGTTTACTAACGAGTACTTGGACTTCGTCCCCACTCTCCCTGAAGAGCTTTACGAGCGCATGCATCCTATTAACGTTAACTCCGCTGGTATTAAAACATCGATTGATAAACTAAAACTTACTTCGTCCGCTGGAACCGATAACATCAACCCTAAAATTTAAAAGAAACACCCGTGTTATTTCTAGTGAGTATTTAAAACTCATCTTCATTCAGTCCTCATCTCAAAGCTGCCTTCCATCTGACCAAAAGGTGGGAAGGGTAATTCCCAGTCTTTAAACAGGGCAGCCGCTCTTCCGCATCTAATTATCGCCCTAATTCATTGACTTCAATTTCTTGCAAACTACTTGAGCATATCCTCTACTCCAATATCATGAGGCATTTTTCATCCCATTTCTTTTCTTTAAACAGCAGCACGGTTTTCAAAAGGTACTTTCCTGCGAAACGCAACTCTGCGACTTCATCCATGACTTGCACACTAACCTTGAATGTCACGTCCAAACTGACGCAGTTTTTTTTTTTTTTTTTTCAAAGCGTTCGGCCGTGTCCTCCATCAAAGCCTTCTTTCTAAGCTATCATCTTTTTGCCTCGACCAATAACCGTTTGCATGGATTCGTGACTTTCTTTTTTCCCGTGTACAGGTCACGTCCATGATGATCATGAATCTTCCTTAATAAATGTATCTCCTGGTGTTCCCCTGGGGTTCGTACTTGGGCCCTTACTCTTTTTAATATTTATTAATCACATCCCCATTGGGATTTCTTCAAAAAAACGCTTTTTCGCCGACGACTGCGTCATCCATAACAAAGTAACTTGTGTGCAAAATAATAACCAGCTTCAGGAAGATCTAGATAAAATTAACAATTGGTGCAAAGAGTGGATTATGTCACCAAACAAGTATAAACGCAAACTAATCCACTTCACCAAGAAAAAACCCCTCTGTCATTTAATTACTTCTTGGACTCCGATCTGATTGAGACCGCTACTGTGTATAAATACCTTGGTGTAAGACTAACATCTGACCTTCCCTGGAATAACCACATTGAAGTCATTACCACCGATTCATCTGGAACTCTTGGACTAAGCAGACGTAACTTAAAAAATCGCTCCACCCTTTGTCCCTAAGCTAACCTTTAACACGTACGTCCGACCAAAAATGGAATATGCTTCAACCATCTGGAATACCGATCGACTGTACCTCATCAATACGCTGTAGAGGCAGTTCAGAACAGAGCTGCTCGCTTCATTTCATCCACTTATGACGTTTCTTTCAGTGTCTCGGCGCTAAAAACTGAACTAACCATGTCCTCTTTGCAGCTTCGCAGGAAAGTCTCTCAGCTGTGCCTTATTCACAAAATCTACTACCACATTCCCGACCTCAAAACCACTTTGTTATTACCCCTCGACCGAACATCTTCTCGCCTCAACAACGTCTGCACCATCAAACACACTTCTGGCTCTACGAACGCTTTCAATTGGTCATTCCTTTCTCAAGCCATCAGCCACTGGAACAGTCCCCCACCCTCCATTGTCACCATCTTGGACCCTGCTGATTTCTCCTCTGCAGTAAAACTACACCTTTCTTGGCCCATGTGATGGTGTGCGGGGCTAGGCAGATCAGTGAAAACACTTACGCAGAGCGCTTGCCAGGCCAGACTTGTACGTAGTTCAACTACTTTACTCAATTACTGTAGTTTAACTACTTTTCTGGGTAGTTTAGTAAATTTTAATTACATTTCTATTCTAGTAATCAGTAGTTTACTTTAACTACTTTTCCGAGCGACTTCCACTCAAATTACAAATTACTTTCTAATTTTAGTGGTTGTTTTGCCTATCAACAGAGAACAGAGGTCGGAAGGTCAGCTGATATTTGCAGAGGGGGAAGCATGCGGAGTAGAAAAGGGGGGGATGGGAAGGAAGAAAGTGATTTAGATAGTCCAAAAAACCCCAAAATTTTAACGAGCCCCCCCACTGCAACAACACTGCTACGAGGCGCTGGGAGCGAACAGACACGACGCAAGAGAGGTCGAGTAACTGTGGGATTAGCTCCGAATAGTGGCGTTTCTTTGTATTCCGAAGCTCGAGGAGACTTGACGCATTTGAAGAAAGGGCTTGTCCCCGCTTCTCTCTAATGTAGGAATTCTTGCCCACTACAGGAGGTGCACACACTGCTCCTTTTACGGTGCAGGCGATAGAGCCCCTAACAACGACGCTCACGCCGGATGGGCTGCTCGTGTATCACTCGAAGCGCGTTAACCCACCCCCGCGCCTGCGTTCACGCCGCTTCGCGGTGACGGTGTGCGGCTGCTAATTACAAATCTATTAACCCACCTAGCCCCCCCACCCCCCGTACACGCCCCGCTGGGTCGGCAACCCAGCGGGGCTTGGGTTGCCGACCGGACGGCGTCCGGTCGGCAACCCAAGCCCCGCTGCCCCCCATGCACTTCCGTAAATAGAGTCGATACGATTTAGTTTAGCGATGTTTCGTCAACAACATTCGTTTTTTTTTAGTGTTAATGGTAAAAAAGAAATGTAAATATCGCCAAATGCCTCGACAAAACAAAATGTTCGAGAAAAAAAGTAAAAAGAAGTAAGCCGGCCCACACCATAAATAGAACCCGGGTCTGACACGTATGAGGCAGACATCTCACCACTAAGTTACGCTACCTCTTCGGAAACTCGCATTGCATCCGCTGCCTATGTTGACGGCGGCAGCGCCTATCTCCAAGCAAGCAAGCAAAACTTTATTTTGTGTAAGGGCCTACGTCCTGGTCTGGACGGCCCGTCCGGCCCATGTCTCGCGGGCGTAAGGTTACCGTGTAGCCTTGTTCGTGGAGCAAGGCTTTAAGAACCAGCCAATCCGGCGTGCGTGAGCACCGTTGCTAGGGTTTGTATCGCCTGCGCGTTAAAAATATGCCCGCGCGGGTCGGGGGGCAGTGCCCTTGGTATTCCTTGGGCGCCGCCGGCCTGTGTCTGCTCTGCCCAGTGGCGGCCGTTTCAGGGGGGGCAAAACGCATGCCTTGCCCCCCCACTCTGAGAACTGGGGGGGCAAGCGCCCCCCTTGCCCCCCCGGTTGGTACGCCCATGCCTGTTACATGGTTATTTTTTTATTTTGCATATTATTGCACGGGAATGTAAAAGTTGCAGTTCTCGCGATGTGCCAACTTCTTTTTAGTATGCGACCCATATGCTTTAGGATATAATGGTTTTCTTGCTAATAAGTGCCTGTAATCACTGTTTCATTTTTTTTGTGAGCCAAGAGGGAGTGACCACTGGCGACAACAAGCATGAGGATTTGCCACAGGAAGCATAATCATGTAAGTCATCATTGTGTGCATGGGATAGTTCTTAACACATTAGATGAAATCCAATTGCTTGCATTTTAAAAAGTGGTAACTGAGAGGGGAGTAAAAGTACAGGAAATCTGGTCAATTGCAGACATAACGAAAACCTGAAACACCGGAAGGGAAAAGGACATGAAAAAGAGGACGACACACACAGAACGTCTCGAACACTGCTGAAGGTTTATTCTAAACCGACACCCTTTTACACCGGTACACCGAAGTCAACGCCAAGAACCCTCGCACCAAGTCACACCTCCAGACTGTCAGCAAGGGCAAACATAAGAAGAAATGCCCTCGATGCTTCCACATGTGCCAAAGTCAACAAACTGACAAAAAAGGAGAAACGTTTGTACTTGCTTGTCAATCACCATCATCGAGACACACAATTTCCAGCAGAACCAATACTAAGAGTTTCTTTTACTACGCATTTAAAGTGATCTCTCTCTCGGCTTATCACCGTGGTGGCCAGTCACCGTGGTGGACAATTGTTGCAAACTTGTAAATGTTCTACAGTTTCTGAACTTGGGGACTGCAGGAGAGCACACTTTTTGGTGCTCCATGATTTTCTCATTAACATAACATCCAGTTTTACCTATGTATCAGAACTTATATGCCAAAGGAATATTATAAGCATCACCTTCTTGACATTCACAGGTAAGATTCCTATGCGTTTACCCGCAACCTTTTCTACCTCCTGTGAAAGGAGTCAACCTACTTAATCTGAAGTCTTCAGAAGCACATTATCATGGCCGCTCTTGTCGTCATCTGAGGCCGCCTTGTCTTCAAGAGCAATGTGAGACTAACTTTGGGAGACAAATTCGAGGTCTTCAGCATCGCTGCTGTCTGAACTGCTGCAAGAAACTGTTCTTTTACATCACCGCCACCAGCATTCCTTATGCATGCCACCATTTTTAAATTACCGTTTTGAGGCTAAACATATTGCAAAGGCGCAAAACACTTTTTTTTTTCTTTTCTGGACTTCTACCTAGTAATGCAAAACTATCAATAGTACTATCGATAGTCGCCAGAAATCTGACTATCGAAAGTAAAAAAACTATCGATAGTAGACTATCGATAGTGGACTATCGAAAAACTATCGATAGTACTACCAATAGTCGACTATCGATGGTACTGTCGACGACTTACTATCAATAGTTTTGCGACACTAGTAGTTTGCGTCGCTCCCTCTTTTTATCGCTTTATTTATTTATTTATTTATTTATTTATTTTCAAATGGGACACCCACTAGCCCAGGCACTTACCATCCCAACTTTCGTTCAGCTTTCAGTGATGCGGAAGACGGGAGTTTGGGCGTTTGGGCGAGGACAGGAGAAGGGGAGGCGAGCGGTAGGGCGAGGGTAAGACGGGCCGGGGAGGATGAAGCGGACGGAACGCTGGAGAAGAGATGGGGAAATCTCCTTCTCTCTTTAGCGTTCCGTCTGCTTCTCCTCCCTGGCCCGTCTAACCCTCGCCCTACCTTCTTGAGTTGTAACGGACTATAGTGATGCAAAACTGTTGATAGTCGACTATCGGAAAACTATCGTTAATCGTCTATCGGAAAACTATCGATAGTCGACTATCATAAACCTATCGATGTTACTGTCGACGATTTACTATCAATAGCTTTGCGACACCAGTAGTATGCGTCGCTCCCTCTTCTCTTTTTATTGCTTTATTTATTTTTATTTTTTTTCAAGTGGGACACCAACTAGCCCAGGCACTTACCATCCCAGCTTTCGTTCAGCTTTCAGTGATGAGAAAGACGTGAGTTTGGGGGTTTGGGCGAGGGCAGGAGAAGTGGAGGCGAGCGGTAGAGGGGCCGGGGAGGAGGAAGCAGACGGAACGCTGGAGAAGAGATGGGGAAACCTCCCTCTCTCTTTGGCGTTCCGTCTGCTTTCCCCTCCCCAGCCCATCTTACCCTCGCCCTACCTTCTTGAGTTGTAACGGACTATAGTGGTGAAAAACTGTCGATAGTATTGTTAGTCGCCAATATAGTAAAAAAACTATCGATAGTATGATCGATAGTCGACTATTGGAAAACTATCTATCGATGGTCGACTATCAATAGTTCTCAGACACTCGATAGTTTTGGAAACACTATCGATAGTCAATTTATCGATAGTTTTGCATCACTACTTCTACCGCCTCCTTGTGTTAAAAATAGAAACCGAAACCAATTTTTCACTGTAACTTGTCTTTGGCACAGAGAGCGGCACAGCATGAGGGTGGACAAGTGTGACTTGTCATTGGTGATATTTGTGCAAACTCTATCGACGAGCACAGCTCGGACCTGGGGGTTAAATGGTTAAAGTACACCGATGTAATTTAGCACACAGGTGGAATAAAAATGAGACGTTGCCTGTCCCTTTTTTTCTATCTCCTAATTTTTTTTTTCTTTTTTGAATACAGTCCCAGGTTTCAACCACCAGCTCGCCTGCACTTTAACCATTTCTTTTCAATAACATGGGCCATTTTTAGTTATATTATTGAGCAGAGCTCACCTTAGTAAAAAAAAAAAGAAGAAAAAAAAATTACATTTTAGGCCACTGTCTATCTTGGCAAAGGGAAGCAGATAATACATAAACCAAGTTTACTTGCATCCTGTTCCGTTCGTTTTTCAGTCGTAATAAACGCCACGGTGGCCCAAAATGCCGTTGATGATATGGCGCAAAAAAAGGAGCGGGAATTTACCCATAAAAAGTGTTGTTTCCTTAAAGGGGCACTGAAGCGATCTTTGGAAACGGCCGTTTTTGATCTTACATTGTTTAAAAGGTGTTCAATTCCTCATACACAAAGTCCCATATTACAAAACTGCCTATTCATCTCAGGACAATAGAAAAACATGTGGGCTCTTTTTTCTTGCAGACTACATTGTGTGGCCCAACGATGGCCCAATGATAGCCCAAGAATACGCGCAGATTCCAAATGATTTCATTCTAACTCGTTTCGAAGAGAGTCTGATGGGTACACATTCAGATAAGACTCCTCTTGTTCAGTGTGGGCGAAGTCATTGCTTGCAGCTCGCCGGCAAGCGCCCTTTGTCGACCACTTCACTCGGAAGAAAATTCTTCTCAAAAAGGGCGTGTCGCAATCTTTGAACATCCTTTTGACGAGTAAATAAGCTACGCATGATTGCGATTTCGGGTTTGTTGAGATGCTTAGAGCGTCTAGATTGAATTGTCGCCACAAAAGGACAATCTCAGAATCGACTTCAGTGCCCCTATAATTGAGGGGGCTCGTACTTCTAAATAATTAATGCGCCATCTAGATCACTTCTGTTGTAAATCGTAGCACGATAGGTCAAGATAGCAATTTATGCAGTTCCTTCAAAGGGTTATTCCGCATTCATACTCGTGCTGCAGTTTTACACATCAAGAGACTTGTATGACTGAATCATGCCAGCCGTAAACTAGCTCGTTGAAATCGCCACATAAAAGGTGACATGAGCCATCGACTTTAGTGGCACCAACTTTCTGTTGGAGCACCAATTAGGATTGTCGAAAGCAACGCAGTCTGCTTGTACAACGCCGTCAACGCAGTTTGTCTGTACCGCTGACGTTCAAGGTCTGGTAGCTGGCCCAAATTGTCAAGCATCACATACGAGGTTCATTGGCACCAAATGTCACAACAAAAGTTCACGCACGTTATGCAGCCTCACCAACAAGCGTACACCACATACTGCAACGGCAAAAACACAGAGCTCGGCCGCTTCTGCCCACATACCCTCTGCGTATGTGTGGGTAAAGCGCCGTGTTGGTAAACTGCACGTTGGTGTATACACTCCACCAATTTGTAATTTATGTGCTGAAGATTTCTACAGAACTTAAGGGGGGGACACTGGCTAGAGATTGAACTTCTGAACTATTCAAGTGATCAGAATGAAATTCGCAGAGGAGATTCAACATCAGGTGTAGGTGTACTGTGCAAACGTTCAGCTCTCTAGGACAAATTTACATACCTGCATGAGGTGATGTGTCATTCTTCATTAAGAAATCTATGATATGTAGGGTTGTTCGTTTTCGGGTTTTGTATTTTTTAAAATTCGTTGTGGTGACAATCGGGTGCTAATTTTCAAGCTGATAATCGGGGAGAAATCGGGTTTTTTGGGGACACATTTCGAAATTCTGGTTTTTTCGGGTTAAATTTACAAATGTAATCAAATTTTTTTTTTTTTTTTTGTGGAGAGTTTTACAAGCTTTTTAACGCCAACGCGTTAAAATTAGGGGTCTGTTTCAAGCTTGTAATCGGGGGGACATTAAGGTTTTCCAGCTCCGATTGCCGTCGGTCGCTTCAATGGAAGCATTGCCCATGGAATCCTCCTTTCCCTCAGGTGTCAACAAAACCTCGACCGTTGTGAGGCGGAACACAAGGATTCCTACTTGAAAATGCTCACTTTTTTCATTAAAACGGCTTCACGCATGAAGGCCGACTGTCCCTGCCACCATTTCCGCACCGCCGCTGTCCCCACTCCTCGGGTGCTCTGTTCGTACGTGAGAGGGCGAGCGGCAGGCTGCAGTTGCAAATAAATGAACCCACAATTACGTTTCTGCAGAGAAGAAATGGGGGTCACAAAAAATCATTTACGTAGAGGCGGAGAGGCGCATTCACGCACTCTATCGAAGCAGGCACATTTGAAATTAAAGAACTAAAACAAGAACATCTGGAGCAGACTTAATTTTTAGAAACAATCTAAGGGTACATGTTACTTGGAAAGTTTAAGAATGTTAATTTGTCACAAGACACTTTTTGTTCCAAAAAATGCTAAACAGGCCTGCTCGATTGATTGGCTGCGAAATTTGGGAGCTGTGCCTTAAGAAATAATTTTCTTTGTTTCTAAAAAGTATTAGTCTTCTCCTAATGTTATTGTTTTAGTTATTTAATTTCAACGATGCCTGCTGCAATAGTGCGCATGAATGCAACTGTCCACCGTTATGTAAGTACAATTTTTTATGCGTCCAGATTTTTTTTTCTGGTGAAAAATATGCACTTTTATTTATACCGAACATTAGGCAAGCAGATCTAAAAATGTCAGTTGACTTTAAAATGTTGACAGCCACCTTTTCGTCAGTCCTATCTGAAATCATCCAAAATTGCCCCAAACTGCACCAAAATATCCCCAGAATTTTTTTTTAATTTCTTTTTTCTATATAGCAGTTTCTGCAGCGACACATGCTCTGCTAATTTTCACAGATCCAATATTTTTTTTTTTGTCCCCATAGGTTGTTTTAAAATGTAGAGTTTTCTGCTCTTAAGCTGCTCCAAAATGTACATGTTCTGCTCCTGAGCAGCTCCAAAAAATGTTACAGAATTTGTTTTAACTGTCCCACCCAGTCTTGGCCAGTAGCTATACTCCGTTTACCTTCAGGTGGACCGCAGCGGACGCTACGAGCCAGCACAACCGATTCTCCCGCTGAGAGAGTGTTGGGTGACCTTCGGGTGTGGTACGGCAATGCGCAATGTCACGTGACACTCTGGCCGGGCGCGATCAGCTGGGATGGCTTCTTGCGTCAGCCGCGGTCCATCTTATTGCGAAATAGAGTAAAGTTACTATTAATGCATTACCGGACAGTTGTTACTTTTCCCAATAGCTTTGAACTGTAGCGCGTTACTCTTTATTAGCGGTAATTTGTAACTGTAACACTTACTTTTCTATTTGGTAACTGTAACTTTTAAAGCAATGAATGTTCTTTAAAGGCGAGTTCCATGTTCTTCAAATCCGAAAGGGGGGGTTTGCTGTTCACTTATTTTTCTCACAAATTTTATGTTATTCATTGTCTATTTTTGCTGTTGGTCGGAATGCGTGTAGGGTTTCTCAGGGCTTTATGTCGAAGGAGTGACTGCATATCTATGGCGTTTCTAGAAGACCCATTTAGTGCTAAATAGCACATGTAGAAACACTTTCTAAACGAGGAAGCAGCATTGCAAAGTTAGTGTTCAAGGGAACACAACATAAAGATGTCAAAACAGGTCCTTTGCCGTAAAACCAGTGTTTTTCTTGTTCAAAGAAAATCTCGATTTCTTCTTTATTTAACCGATTTTGAGAAACACTTTTTAAGGGTTACTTCTCAGTGTTTATCGTCGTACTGAAAACATGGAACTCTACCTATAGTACATTGCTTTGAAAGAACCTTTTCACCCACTCAAGGGTATTGCTGTTTTGGTGCCTGCCACCTGAGCCTTTTTTCTTCCTTAACATTCATCATAAGTTAATTCTCCTAACTCTCAAAGAGGTAAGCACCTTCAATCAGTCGAAAATACCAAAGTATGACAGTTGAGCAGCAGGTAAAGAGTGATGAACATTGCTCAGTTTTCAGGGGCAAAATCTAAACATTTTTATTAGGTTTTCATTTGGCTGCCTTTGCAACTAAAAGCTTTTCAACCTTACCGTGATCTTGTGTTAAACAATGAAGCTATTTGTGCTGGACTGGACCCAGTGAAGTATACGTGATTGAATAGAGCTGGAACCGTTGGAACGGTAAGGTCAAAGTTCTGCGTAATTCACCTCACTGGCCATTGTAAGAAAATGTAGCACCCGCTGGTAGATTCTGTGACCTTTTACTTCAGCAATTATTGATTACGTGCAGATACCTGGACCTCGAGACTGGTGACCTTAAAGATGTCAGCAAGGATACACGGTGATTTCTTCACCACGGGGCTGTGCAATTTACTGGCATGGATCTAGTGTCTCACCTCGGAGATCTCCATGGCGTGTGAAAAGTGCCAAGGCTGGTGGGGCAAGAAGTTTATTGGAAGGCTTTGTCATGCCACGGTGATGAACATTCATGACAGGCCCTTCTGCCGAACCAGCTACGCAATAGAGGCAAGCCTGCTATGCCACTGGGACATGGATGCAGTGCACTAGTCTACGTGTGGCACTGTGGACTCCTGGGGACCAGGCCAGGAGATGGACGTGCAATATTTATATTCCGCGTATATTTAGTCAACCAATTTTACTGTTGACATTGACTGTTGACAAGTGGGACATTCTGTTCGTGTGGCAAAAGATATGCCGGGTGTGTGGTGGGGTCCCACAAAAAATAGCTATGTTCTGTCTGGAGCAATGTTCATAGAGACATGGCAAGTTGTGTCAGTGATGGTCGCAGTTTGGGACATGTTTTGGGTGGCTGCGTGATGGGGTGCTGTGATCGTTGCTGGACAACTGTTTCATTGAGTCACTGTGGCAGTGTTTTCACTAGCTTGGGAGGCAGCATGGTAATGCATAAACACAGTGACAGATTTTACTTCGAACTAAAAATGGTGTACAAGAATAAAACAACTTGCTGCCTCATCGAGGCATGTCTTCAAATGTGAACTAATATGTTGTCTTTTCAGTACCACCTTTTCCATTTTGTTTCATTGAAACCTCGCAGTGAGAGTGACTGAGATAATACAGTCATGTCTTGGCATTATGAATGCCTCCGAGTTTTCTATAATGAATCAAGATCAGAGACAATTCTTGGTTATGAAGTGCAAAAGAAAACAAAAAAACACCCGTTTGTTTAGCCCAAAAAATTGGGATGAAAGTTTGAATTAACACTTTTGAGCCTCTTTGTGTCCAGAAGGCAGAACACGTCAGGCTGGCTTTTGCATTGCTCATCCATATGTCAGATTCTTTTAAAATTTCGTGCATCGTCGGTTTACCGACATCAATGCCAAGGTTCTGGCTCTGCACTCCCGTATATTGCAAAAGTTCTGAGGATGTCTCGCTCTTGAATTTGCAGCCCCCCCCCCCTTTTTTTTCAGCAGGGCTCGTTTCCCCAGTATCTTGTCCATCAGCAAACAAATGATGACAGCTGCCACCATCTATGAGCGACGGCGGCAACCAGCCAACTGGTTTGCCAACTGTCTGGTTGCCACCATCCTTCATAGATGGCGCAGCCTTTCCACCTTGCCGACTTGCAGCCGGCCATTACTTCATTCCCACCATAGTACAGCTTCACTGGTCTTCCTTCCTCACCAAAATGGAAAGGCGGAAAGTTTTTCTTTCTTTTTTTAGAACGCAGGCCTCGGGCGCCCGTTTCCGAATTGGTCGACGTCGCCATTACCGCGCGTTGCATTATGGGACGTTTCCCTCCATAACGTTGCGAGGGTAAAATTTTCCCGCTAAATTTACCGGGGAAATTTTCGGTTAATTGAGCCGGAAATCTAGCAAAAATTTACCGCTAATTAGGAGGGAAAAATGCTTTCCTCCACCTCCTCGAGAGCTGCGCTCGAATTCAGCATTACAGAAAATTGTAAACATTTTCTTTTTTTGTAGTAGCACAAAACGTTTTATTTACTTTTCTTTTCACAATTGCGGGATCTCCAACCGCTTCAGTCTCTCGCCTGCTGTTGTCTTGTTTGTGTTGTAACCGACTAGGGAAACATCTGGCCTTGCCTTTTCTGCAGTCAGGGCACAAAGGATAGGTAAATGTAATTCCTCACGCATGTACTTCATGACCTAAGGCAACAGACACAAAGGTGCAAGCACCTATTTGGCATAAAGTCTGCAATAACCCCACCACCTTTAAGGGCACAGGTCTCATCTCAAGACTGGCAACCAATAACCAGGCTTGGACCGCGACGGTTTGGTTTCAATTGTACCCTTTCTTGCATTACGGGACTTATTTTTGAGAATGTATAGAAAATAACAAGACAAAAACATGTATTTTCCCCGTTTGTCTCCAAAGCAGCTGTCCATAGTCCAGACTGTGGGGAGGCAGAATAGCATAGCGACCGATCCCCAAAAATTTCGTCCATATTCTGGGGTATCCACATTAACCAGACATGACTCTAAAAACATATTGTCGTAAATGTGTGCAACAATTGTTGCATTTTCCTAGCTTTGTCCACATTGCTCTGTATGTATTTGCATTCCTCTTAAATCGGAATCCCTTTTAGTCGATTTGATACATTGCTCATACTTATGAATATATTGGCAGCAATTTGAACGCTGCACTGTTAGTACCACACCCGAGCAAAGGCCTCGCCCTGCTACATTTCAACAGAATCTGAGGAATTTGTGCCAACGCTGTGCCAAAAGTCCTTTCCCAAAGGTTCTGCCCTGCTACAGTGACGGATCATCCTTGTAGACTTGTGCAAAGTTAGGAAAGCATTGATTATCATTTTGAGTGACATACTACTCACTTCTATGTTTGTATCAAACACTGGCACTGCTTCAAAGCTTTGCAATATTTTTAATTGTTTGATATATTTCTCAGGGGCTAGTTAGCTTAGTGGAGTGTACTTCTCACCGAGCACTGTGTACAAGTGCCACTCACACAGGGGACATGCATGGCTGTGAGTTGAGCTTTGCCCTCCTTCAGAGCAGGGTAGTGCGGGCAGGCAAACTACCAAAATAGTTATCTTCTTCAAATGCTTGGCTTGCAGAGGTAGCCGATGCGAGTTGAGAATGAGCTAAAAGGTTGCGAGGGAATACTTTGTAGGATGGCGGCTTCCGTGATATACAGAGCCACTCCACATACGACGGCGTAACATACAATCGTCACACCCACCATATGTGCCTTCACGCTGTAGCGTTTGCGCATTGCTGGATGCATCCAGCTTCACCGCTTTGCATTGGTACGCTTAAGAGAAGCTTCGCTGGTTTGCCTACTACCATAGCCTCCTCTATACTCGCAAAGCCTGGCAGTTCGACAACGGAGCCATAGAGTGTATGGTCACAGATTTAGAGCACGAGGATCTGGTAGCAGAGAAAATTTGTCGGGGAATCTGGTATTCAGCGCACAGTTTCTGCAGCGGCAAGGACCCGAAACATGGTTTTCAAACCGGACGAGAAAAGAAGCGGTAATGCGAGGAGTACGAGCGGACATTCCTTGTAATCTTGATAGTAAGCGATTCCATAGGCTTCGTATAATTCCCGCTCAAACTTCAGGTAAGTACCATTCGTCAGAACTGGTAATTTCATCGCTCGGGAGGTGCGGTTCGACATCTCCCCGCAGCGGGGAGATGTCGAATCAGGGCGCAGCGACCGCAGCAACGCTTGTGTTCGCTCTCGGGGTTAATAGAGGTTGAAGTCGTTTCGCATCACTGGTCAGACAGACAGGATGCCAGGGAAGGGACTGCGGTTAATCCTTGATGGAACATTTTTTGAACCCATTGAAGACTCTTCGTCCGGAACCACTACCTTCAGGGCTAAGTGCAAAGCCTGCGGGAAAGTAATTTCGGAACAAAAGAGCCTCTACTTCAAACTTAAAGCCTGATCTCAGTTGGTAACTCAAAGAAATTTTAAATAATGTACTGCATCATAAGTCTTTATATTTCATGTCCTCCCTAAAATGTATTCCTGTAATTGTATTTCCAGACTTTCTGCCCCTTTTTAAAATGTATTTCCGATAGGTATCGCGATACACTTTCACAGATATGTTTCAGTGTCAGTATTTTAGCAACTATTTTCATATATCCGCATTATCTGTATTTCCTAATACATTTTTGAATATGTCTGCCCAAACCTGCAACGCAATGCAGCTGTAAGGCGACATATTTTTACGTTTAGAAATTAGAGGAATGGAATGGAACAATTCAGCCATTCCAGGAGCGGGAATGGGCCCAGTGTCGGGTCCATATCACATGAGCGAATGACATTTTAGCGAACAGCGACAGTTGAGCGAATGGACGTTTTAGCGAATAACGGGGGCGCGCGTTAACCCGTTCGCCGCGCTGCGCTTTACGCCGCTTCGCGGCGACAGCCTGCGGCGGCTCATTAGAAAAATGTGAACCCATTTGGCCCACCCGAAAACGCCGCTTCGCGGCGTCCGACTATTCGCTAAAGTGTCATTCGGTGAAACGTGGGCGTTCGCTAAAACGTCATTCGATCAAATGAGTGCCTCCCGAATGGGGGTCACCCACTCCGCAACACTGGTACGCACCGGGAATCTAGCACCGGTATTTACGTGTCGGGACGCTTAGACGCCTGTCACCCGTCGTACCTGAGTAACTGAAAAAGAACAGTGATCATATTCAATTCGTCTGCGTCCTAATAGGCGCCTGACTCGGTAATAACGTATCAGCCTAGTAGCGATAAGCGAAATCCGAGCACTCACCAATGGCCGCACTTTCACTAGCCATATCGAGGTAAGAAATCTTCGCTATCTTCAGTTTCAATTTAACATTTTGAATAACGATGTTCCTCGCACACGATGCAGAAGCTGTCTCGAGCTCCGAGGCCTGTACGCGTGGAACGCCCAACCATTCGGCATCTTGTGACTGTGGTTCCATACCACGGCGTAGATTTTAGTTTATAACGCCGACACACATGTATGTGTTGCATGCTTACTGCATTCGCGGGACACCGGTCTACTTACCCATCTCTCAGTGTTATAGGCGCGACGACGAAGATCACAACAGGGAAAGGCATCACCAAAACTTAGAACGCAAGAATAAAAGCCACGCGGAACCGTTACAACATGGCGCCGGGATATTTGTAAACATACTCTCGTTACCGTGCGCTGGCTCCCCGCTTCAAAACAAAAATGTGTTTAGCATATTTCAAATCATTTTCGCCACGAAAATAGCTTGATCACTTAAATGTATATATTCACATTTTTCTTTAAATGAAATTGAGAGCTTAATGACTTCGCAATGAAGCACACACTTTCTCGCACAACAGCAAAGCTTTGCTTCACCGAAAAACACCGCTGTCTTGCAGGGAAAGGTGCTTGCCGGCATTTGCACCGGTAAAATGTCCTGTCCAAACGCCCCTTACGAAATTGCAGTACATATGCACTGTTAAGGTACTGGCTGTGGGGATGACTTGTCTGTGGCCAGGAAAGCACGCAGGGTCAGTAGAAAATGATTATTATGGGATAAACATAATGGACACAAGGATGAAGCACAGGACAACAGATGACCTGCAAGTGTAGTTTATTTTATGAAAAGGAAGCATTTTAATTTTATTGCATAAACACAAACACGCATGCCAACCAGGCAGCTGGCAATCACAGGGATAGAGCCTTACAATGTGGCAGTGCTAAACTCCAATGTATGCATTTTTTTCTCGCTTTGTTTTGTAACGGAGGCTCTCTTCTATCATCATTACTTTTACTCTTACCAACTAGCCCAATCTACCACCCTACTTCAGCTCATTTTGGGGGGCTAGTCATACTTGAACAAACTGCAATGGCAAGATGAATGCTAGCGAGTCCATTTCATTGCCACAAAATTGACGGTGTTGTCTCATATGGTAACAACAATGCACGCTCATATATGGACTGCGTGAGACCATCAAAGTGTGGGCGGTGACTCTACTTGATATCTGGGGACTGAACACAACTGCCTCAGGCTACTCTTAGAGAGAACCATAGCGGTGGTCAAGGAACCAATACAGCAACACCAGCCGCGATTACCTATGATATATAGGTCTTCCATTCCCTTTGTAACAATATAGAAGATACCAGATTTTGGGTCAGTACTTGTATTTCAGCATCGAAATACACATAAGAATATATTCCTGGT